AATTGGACCAGGGGCCAAGATGAAACTTAGAACAGTTCACTGTGGAGACTCGGACAGTTGTATTCAGTGGAGTTTTTATGTGAAAGTTTCCATTTGTCCGGGTAAGTTAGGGAATTGTAAGAAGCTGTGCAGGTGTCTCTTTCGAATACCCAGTTTGATTTCTTTTCCTTTAGAGCTGTTACTTACACTTGTTAAACCGGGGAGTGAAAAGCAGCAGTGTTTGATTTCCCTCTTATGTTCTCTCAATTTACTAGGTTGCAGTAAAACTGTTGGGGATAAACTTAACATTACTAAGGGGTAAGATTTACAAAGCACCTTCTTATTTAACTTTATCTGTGTTTTAATCTGTAAAAATGAAAAGCAGGGGATCTTAAAATAGAAAAAAAAAATACAAGTATATATCTTCTGAGCAGAATAGGATGTTTAAACATCAAACAAATCTTAATGAAATAATTTACAATTTATGAAAGACTTGGAATAAATCCTGGAGCATAGACCAAATTAGGTGCTTTGAAATTTTTAAACTTTAGTGATTTATTTTTTTCCCTGTTGCTTTGAAAATACCTTTGAAATCAAACTAATAATTTTAAGACTTTTGGTATTCATAGTTTTTTGATATAGTTTCCCTTTATATTAATCATCTGGTTTGGAATATGTAATAAAAGAACATTCTTTACGCATAAAGAGCTCAACTTTTAAAACAAAGTACCGCAGTGCCTTCACTTGAATCTTCAGTCTAATATTTGTAGAACATATGATATGCATATTTGATTTCTCAATCAGCAGTATATTTTTAAAATTGTACATACACAGCACTCTGAGTAGGAAATACTGTCGTGGAATATTTTTGCCAGTCCAAAATGTTTGTATAGAAATAGCTTCTCACAATAACAAATCAAAATAGCCCTCTGGGGGCATGTGGGTGGCTCAGTATTAAGCCTCCCACTCTTGATTTCGGCTCAGGTCATGATCTCACAAGCTCCAGGTCAGGCTCCAAGCTAAGCACGGAGCCTGTTTGGGATTCTCTCTCTCCCTCCCTTCCTCTCTCTACCCCTCCCCGGCTCCCTCATGCTCTCAAAATAAATATTTAAAAACAACAACAACAACAAAAAACCCTAAAATAGCTCTCTGCTCCTTATTTTACTTACTTTACTATTTACAGTGACACTGAATCAAAATACGTATAGATTCCTTAACAAGTGTTAATGATACTCTCTCTAGCCACCATTAATGGATTTTTTAAAGTTGAACAATTGTCTGAGCATTGTACCCCAGATGAAAGATTCAGTGACATTAGTGATCTGAGATTCCATGTCTAATGAGCCCCCGGCGATGTTGCTGCCAGCCAGGGCGACACTCTGAGTTACCAAGTGTAGGTTATTAGTGATGCGCCCATAGTCTTGAAATTGGAAGAAATGCCATCAAACATAAAGGTGAAATTTCCTCCTGTTTAAGATAATTGAATTTTCAAAAGGTACCACATCTATGTGTATGTTTTTAAAAAGTGCGTGGGCTAAAGTTTGGCTTTATGTTGCTTTTCTTTCTTTCTTTCTTTTTTTTTTTTTTTTAATTTTTTTTTTTTGACGTTTATTTATTTTTGGGACAGAGAGAGACAGAGCATGAACGGGGGAGGGGCAGAGAGAGAGAGGGAGACACAGAATCGGAAGCAGGCTCCAGGCTCTGAGCCATCAGCCCAGAGCCCGACGCGGGGCTCGAACTCACGGACCGCGAGATCGTGACCTGGCTGAAGTCGGAGGCTTAACCGACTGCGCCACCCAGGCGCCCCTGTTGCTTTTCTTTAAAAAAAAAAAAAAGAAAGAAAGAAAGAAAGTAAAGATTTCTATTATGTCCTTTGCACTGTTTGATGTCCTTCATCTGTTCCCCTGAAACGGAGCGTTGTCGCCTTAGAAACTTCCTTACAAGACTATGAAACGTAGGCAGTTCCTTCTCTATTTCTACGCGGGTAAGAACTCTGGAAGCAGGGCACTAGGCACAGATAGTCCCAAATGGCTGCTAAAACTTGGCACAGAACGGATTTTGATGTAAACTTGTATTTAGGATGACCTGGGAACACCGTTACCCTCCTGCAGCCTCCATCCCAAAGTACACAAACAGTGTAAGTAGTCATTTTTCAGATCGATGGACAGATCCCTAAATTATGTGATGAAAAGTGGCCCCCGGTCGGAGTGTTCTGCTAGGGTTGCGTGGTCTCAGCTGGGACTAGGATGGGATCCCAGAGCCTCGGAAATGCACCTTCTCCTGCCAGTCTCCTTTAACTAATTTGCTCCCGTCTCTAGTCTTGGAATCCGCAGCCCTTGCCCCGTGTCTTGCTATTGCTCGAGTTCTGCTTTGCTTGTCATGACTGTGTGGTTCTAGAAAACATGCCATTTGTTGACATCAGTGTTTTCATGCACGTGGTTCATAAATGCATGGTCTTCTTTTGTCCGGCTAAATCGTCCCTGGATAAGTGAGAGTTGGCTTAAGTCCATTCGACTCACATACATACTTCATGTATTTTATCACCTGTGGCTAAATCGTTTCTCCTTTATTTCCGTTAAGGATATTTAGTATTTGGTATAACTTAAACCTGTTTTTAATGTCATATTAATAATGACTGACCCACTAACTTTGTAACTTTTTTTTACATTTTTTAAAAATTTGCAATTCTTAAGCTGTCTGTGCTTAAGTGAATGTGACACAATGTTTTGGGATGTACTACATAGAGTGGCCAGATCAGGTGGTGGGGAGTATAGTGACATGGGGGGAAAAACCCAAAAGATCAAATTAACTTGAACATTGTTCTACTTGGCTCTCGAATTCCGGAGCTGTAACCTTCAAAAAATTGTATAAATAACAAAGGATGGTGTAGTAAGTTGAGAGCAAACTTTAGATCCATCCCAGGACAATGGGATGTTATGTAGTAAGTTTTACAGAGGTCTTTCTGCGGGGTGAAAACACATGTGCCGCAGGAAGAAACTGTACTCGATGCGAAAGTCAGGATGCATCTGAAAATGCCTGGCTTGTCCTAAAATTGATTGCTAAGATGATATTTAATATATGCTCTGTGTATTCCCTCTAAATCTAAGATGTGAGAGACAAGGGCCGTTTGTCCTCACACAGTCTTACGCTAGGAGAGAGAGAGTTTACATTACTCGTATCAGGCTAATTGGTTTTAGAGGTAAACAGATTGCACAGAAATTCCGAATCAGTTCATCTGCCAGACGGTCTGTAAGATGTCAACATTAGAGTAGCTCCCTGCACCTAATTCCTGTTTCAAATTCCTAAAGGAGAATCAGAAAAGTCGTAATTTGTGACTCTAATTGTCAGCCCTGCTTCCATTCTCTTTGTCATTCATTTTATCCCACCTATTGTGCCATTCTGCTTCCTTTTGGTTTGTTGTGACTATTTTATTCAGCATTTTCCCTTCCTCTGTTCAGCACATACCAAACTGGTGAGAGCCACAGAGAAGTAAAATTAAATTCTCTCTGAGAAGAAGAGATGAGAGAAAGGTTTGCTTTTATCGTTAAAAGGTACCTGCTTCTGTATGTTTCTTTTCAGAGATACCCTTTCTAGAATAGAAAATATCCAATGACTATTTAGATATCAGTACCTTGAACTAAGATATGTTGGCTTTAGTAAACATCAGGGGGAACACTTAGATTCCTGTTCCCTTTGCTAAATTATTGGTTTTTATGCCACTCCTGTTTTAAAAGTAAAAACAAAAAAATACATACTGGCAGACTTTTACTTTGACGTAGGCTCCAACTGAGTTATGTCCCCATTGTCCTTTTATTAGACTATCTAGCTTCCTTGACCTCAGAGTAGCTGTGAATCCAAAATGCAGAAATTTTTTTAGCCCAGTGGGAAATTATCCTAGAATCTTATTATTTTTAAGTGTAGGGAGGAAAAATACTTCTTTCAGAAACTTAAATACATTTTACTTAAGCTTGTAAATGCATTCAATTTTTTTAAATGTTTTTTAATTTATTTTTTTTTTATTTTTATTTTTTTAAATTTTTTTTTTTCCAACGTTTATTTATTTTTGGGACAGAGAGAGACAGAGCATGAACGGGGGAGGGGCAGAGAGAGAGGGAGACACAGAATCAGAAACAGGCTCCAGGCTCTGAGCCATCAGCCCAGAGCCCGACGCGGGGCTCGAACTCACGGACGGCGAGATCGTGACCTGGCTGAAGTCGGACGCTTAACCGACTGCGCCACCCAGGCGCCCCTTTTAATTTATTTTTGAGAGAGAGAGAGCTAGAACGTGAGCGGGGGAGGGGCAGAGAGACAGAGAGACCCAATCTGAAGCAGGCTCCAGGCTCTGAGCTGTTAGCGCAGAGCCTGATGTGGGGCTCAAACTCACGAGCAGTGAAATCATAACCTGAGCCAAATTTGGACGTTTAACCAACTGAGCCACCCAGGCACCCCACAGTTTCAACTTGTAAGTATTAATTCTGTAAAGACATTTATGTTTTCCTTTACCAGAATATTTTTAGCATAGGAGAGAGAAACCAACAACAAAAAATCCTAGATTTTGGAAAATTATGAATTGCGTTGCCTTAGACCCTTCGAGCCCCACTGCCCTGTGTCTGAGTGAAATGAAGTGTTCCTCTATTTGTGCCACAATGTGTGTCTGCATAGCCAGGAAGAGAGCAGATACGTATCCCACCCACTCACAATGTGAGGTGCTCCTCTCCTCTCCCTTACGGTCTTGAGTTTGGGAGCAGACTCTGTCAAAGCCAACAGGAAGGGCAGTTTCTTGGTAAAAGCAGAGTGGTGTCTTGGGTCGCAGCAGCAAAGGGCAAGACAAAACATAGCCACTAGAACTGGCAGTCGAGGCCTACCCGGCCCAGTGTATCTTCCTGGTCCCAGAATTCCTCTGAGGCTAAAGCCAACCAGGAAGGGAGATTTCAGTCTGTCGTGAGCTTTACGGTGTCTGTGAACACCTGAAGGTAAGCTAATGGATGCTGAAGATAACGTGAACTTTCTGTGATTAGTAATCCAGTTTTAGATTTTCACCGTCTTGAAATAGCTTCGTTGTTATGCCAAATCAATGTGTCTTACAACGTAGGAGAGTCTTTTTGATCTTTCTCCCGCATCGGATTCGGTTTAAAATTCCATCCGAAGAGGATATGCCACTCCCACACAAACACAAGGAGTTTTGACTCCAAAAAACTAGAACACGAGAGCAGTCGTGGAGAATTCAGTGACAGTCCTGACCCACAATCGAAAGACGCTCCCCGTCGCCCTCAGGAAGTGGCTCTATGACGAGTGTAGTTCGGGGACGGTGGTGGCTCCCAGGACGGCCTCCCTCACAAGGAGAAACAGGAGGGGATCCAGAGCCGCCATGGTTAGCTGTTGTGTTGGGTAGCATCGAGCATCCCTGAAGTGTTGGCTTCACCGCACGCACCGGTGAACAGCTGACTGGCCACCGTTAGTTTCCGTCTGCCCGTTCTAGTCCGTTTACTGAGGCAGGGACTACACCTGCGTTTTCCAGTTCCATCGTCCGTAGTCCCGTGTGGCTACTGTGGACTTGAACATGGCTGGTCCTGCGTAAGTTGTGCTTATAAAACACACGCCGGACTCTAAAGACTCAGTACACATTAAATGTAAAATAACATGCATGTTCGGTTAAGCAAAATACATTAAAATTAATTTTGCTTGCTTCTTTTACTTTTTTAATGCGGCTTCTAGAAAATGTAAAATTACCTGTGTGTCTCATAGTGTATTTCTTTGGATGGCACTGGACTAGAATAATCGATTTTAGATGTCTACTGCCACCATAAAATTGTGATGTAAATTTCAGTTATTTAGGAGAATCTCTTACCAAAATGCATGGCTTCCTTGACGGTGAGGGCTAAATGGGGCATGATTGAACTTGAGCACTGGTGGAATCGTTCTCCCTTTAAACATTTCATTTCAGAGCCAGATTTAAAATGCTGGTATTAGGAAAATAAGGGTTTCTCTCCACTAGCCCTCATTGTAACTTAAATGGGAAAATATTTACAAAGTACTTCGTATCACACTGTTCTGTTGTTTCGAAGAGAATCAAAAATGTAATACAGGGATAGAAGGGTTTCTAGACTGGCAGTAGCTGCACATTCGAAATCGTTTCTAAAAAACCATTTATTTCCCAGTCCTGGCACCCCCGCAGTTTTTTGTTTGAACTGTGGATTTTCTACATAGGCTTTGGAATTGATTTATGTTGCTCTCTGATACTGTCTTTTTTTTACCTCGCCTTCTAGGAAAACAGAAGTTAGCGCCTCATACAGCACTTACCAGGATAAATCCGCTTCGCCAGCAGAGTCCACGCAGTAAATGGTTTCCACACAGTGCATCTTCTGATTCTTTTAGAATGTTGACATCGATGGTAAATTCATACAGCCTCTATGGAAAACATACACGCCTTCCTCAAAAAACTAAAAACCAAACCAACGAATGATTTAGCAGTTCCACTTGCTGGCATATATCCGAAGGAAACAAACAAACAAACAAAAACACTGCAGCTCTCTGTTCTCTGCAGTGTTATTTACAACGGCCACCACACGGATGCCAACCTAAGTGCCCCTGGACAGATGAATCGTTAAAAGAAAACATGGTATCCAAATACGGTGGCATACAGTCCAGCCATAAAAAGGAAGGAAATCTTGCTGTTGGCCACAAAATGAATGGACCTTGAGGCATTTTGCTAAGTGAAATAAGGTCGAACAAAGACAAAATACTGTATGATCTCATTTGTAGAATCTAAAAGGAAAAAAAAAAAAACCCCACAAAACAAAAACAAAAAAACCCTAGAAACAAATCAGATTGGTGGTTGCTGGGGGGTGGGGGCAGATTTGGCTGAAGGTGGTCAAAAGGGACACACTTCCAGTTCTAAGACTAACGAGTGCTGGGATGTAATTATCGTCCAGTCTGCTGTCAGTAGTACATTGTATTTTTGGAGAGTTGCTGAGCAGAAGACAAACACTTTTATAATTGAAGTAATGGATGTGAACTAAGTTCATTGTGGTAATCATTTCATAGTATATACATTCTCAAATTATGCTCTACACCTTATACACAATGTTACGTGTCAGTTAATAAAACCAGAAAGGGGGAAAGAAAGGATGTATAAAAACTATTCCCTAGGGTTTTTTCCCCCACTTCCACGAATGCAACTGTTAATTAAGCCATCGTGCTAGCGTTTTAATGTGCTTTGAACGTACTCACCATCTTTCGATGCTTCTTTGAACCGTATATGCATTTGGGTATGAACATCTGGCCTGTTTCTCCTTAAAATAACACGTGCATTTATAGGGCAACTCAATACAATATCCCCGGTATTTAGGTGCGGAAATTATTTTTTAAAATGAAATTTCCAACTTTAGACAACTGTAGTGCAAAATAAATTACATTTCATTTGTAAAGAAAGTGACACATCTTTTTTGTAAAAAGATTAATGAGAAGTCTTAAGATTCATTCTCTCAACAACTCTAAAACATGTTTTACATATTGTTCAGTGTAAAAAGTCTTTCAAATATGTGTATGCTACTTTCACCCTTAACATTAAAAAGAGGAACTCTGAAAATTGGGATTTTGAACAAGTTTGACTTCCTTAACTGAGAATATTATCAGAAAACAAAGTAAATAGGGTTGAATTCTATATGTTTTTTAACTATTTGTAATTTCTTGGTGACTTCCAGAAGCTAGAAAGTTTATGGCCTTTGTTCTTCACTTTTTCAAATGTCAGTAAACAGAGAAGTCAGGAATTCAGAATCCGTTGGAAACTCCTGTACAACTTTAGAGAGTTCTCACACTCATAAAAGGAATGGCAGCTGGGGGTACAGAGTGAACCTGTGGCCTATAATTTTCTCTAAGAAGATTCTGCTCTTTAATAAAATTAGATTCCACTCTAAATTCCAGCAACGGGTGATTTTCTCCCTGTACTTGAATAAGACGATGCCTTTAAACAACGTCATGTAAAAGTAGTGACTTTGGCAGGAATATCTCCATCTGATAACCACAGGTTGTATCAGAATCTTAGTTCTTATGTGCATCTCACCTTAACTGCTAAAAACAGTAAAAATCCAGCCACATTATTTCAAGAAAGGAGACTGTGTCCGCTATTGGCCGAACAAAGGGACAGAGAAAGCAAACAAGCTGCAGTGGCACCTGGGGCTCAGGTGGCACTGACCGTGACCTGAGTCCTTACACCAGGCAGAGTCTCTGAGATAAGCCACTGGGCAGAGGGGAGGGACGGCCGCTCACATTCAGAGTACGGTTTTGCAAATTTTGTTTTGCACTTTTATAGTTAGTAGCGTAAGTTAGGCCAAAGAAACGCTGCCTTGAGGACATGATTGGGAATCATGTTTTACAAGTATTGTTTTACGGATAAAGCATGTTTATGATGCACTGTAAGTGTCCCCTCCCTGAGGGGATCGGTGAGGTACTTCGGGAAGATACGCTCGAGCAGAAAGA